TTCGCATAGCTTCAGCCCGTCTTATATTAAGCATTATGCATATGATCATTGCACAGCCGTTAGTGATACGATATAAATAGGCTATCAGATTTTAGCGCATATATTACGGTTGCCGCCCAGTTAACAAAAAAGTACTATAAAATATTCACAAATTAATTTTCTAGTTTCAGATAATAGTTCTAGTTTAAGTTTCTAGTAATTAATTTCCGTTTCAGCAAAAATAAGAAACTTCATTCTTTTTTTTAGGGTATTACTTTATACTAAGTATTATAAAGTTATACATGATGAAGGTTTTGATATGGTATTTTAAGCCAAAAAACAAATATAAAATTTTAATTTTTCAAACATGTTAGCTAGTCGAATTTAGTATCATAAAAATGTGCTATAAATGTTAAAATCCATATTGAATAAAATTATAGCATTTCTAGTAAGTAATGAAAGAAGTTTGAAAGAAGTTGTAGGTACAATCAGCCAGATATAATTTCACTAATTTTTAGTAGAAATAACGTTTACTGTTAACCAAGACAACAGATTTATTCTTTCGTTTTCAGCAAAGAAAGTTCTATTTCAGAGCAATGAATTTTTGACATTACAGTCAAAAAACGACTTCTATTTTTTACATGCTCACCTTAAGCATACTCTTTAATTTACTAAAAAAATTAATTGCTTGTTTATTTAATGTAATAACTTCTGACCAAATTAGGGTTTGCTTAAAAAAATTAACACTATTAGTACTAACAATATGAATTGCAAGATATAAATATAATCAAATAATAATTGAGATCTTTCTGATTATTCGCACGTCCAGGCGAAGCAAATGTCACCGAAATAGGTAAACTACAAACCAGCCAAAATGTATTTATTTGGCAACTTAAAGCATGCGCGCGCACGCAGCAGACAGTGTATTTCTGCTCTCAAATTCGAAAATTATTTTTTCTCATTAATATTTGTTTTATTGCACTGAGTACATTTTTTCTCGTAATGGGAGTGTGGACGTTGCTTGTTGAAATGTAGAAATTTTTATTTTATTAAAAAAGATCTTAAGAAATCGAAATTTGTGTCAATGCCGAATTGGTGCTTTTGCCTCATGTTTTTTAAGCGAAAATAGATCGCTGTGTACATGGAGAAAATGACAGTGTTACTCAATGCCAAGCTAGTTTGTGCGATTCTTTGATATTTTTTAAAAGTAAAACAGATAACTGTGTACGTGGACAGAACAAAGCACAAAAAAAAAAAAAAAAAAAAAAGTGTATTTTTCCTTCTGAATGTTTCTTGTGTTTTTAATTTTGTTAATTGGCTGCTGAAATATCTCCACAAAGAAACGGAGGATTCCTTTTGCGTGTTAGCTTGGCGAATAATTAGTGCCAACGGTTGGAGACATTTTGCAAGGGAAAGCGGATAATAAGAAAGCTCTGCTAATTCCTTAAACAAATATTCGAACGAAGAGTGAGCAAAGTTACTGATGTTTGCATATCTCTGGAATTGATATCCCCATGCATGAAAAAACAGTCATAAAAATTGCCGTTATAAAAAGGTAGTAGCTCTGAAATCTTATTCGCAAAAGATTCTACTACAAAAAACTGCATAAAGCTCTGCTCTACGGATATGATTTGCTGCAACTTCTATTTTACATTTTTTTTACAATTTAGAAGCTTGCTAAAAATGCTTGCTAATACGCTTTTTTCGCAACCAAACCTAATAAAAAAAACAGCTACAGTAGTAAAAGTTTCTACACCATTAGAGGCAGGCCAGATAGCACACTCATAGTTTTTCTTACCGTTTCCAGTTCTTTTAAGCAGTCCTTCAGATTTCCAGCAAACGATTCGCTAAGAGGCCGAACTTTCGGCTTAGGTAATGTAGAAGACATGATTTGCTCTTCGCTCTTCTTCGAAAGGAGTCAAAAAAGAAAAAGAGTCAAAAGGACAACATTTACAGGAACACCACTATGAAAGGTGGGGGATTAGTAATTAAACGAGTTATTTTTTCTGTGTTATAGACTAGCCATCTTTGTGTTTTCTCAGATATAAAACAATAATCATGCAGTAAAATTTGCCTAAAGTAGAATCTTTGAAAATCCGTGGCTGAAAAAACGTACAGTAGGGTCCCTTTAACGTGATCGAGATTAATGTTATCCTTCGGATATTATTATCGAATTGCTGAACTCCCACCCATTTGTATAGGAAAATATTCGAAATATGTCGTTTATTGTGATCAAAAATTCGGTTAATAGGATCAAAATATCAAAGTATTATTGATTCTTTCTAACTGAAGTAAAGTCGCCAAATAAAAGATAAAGCCGCCAAATAAAGTCGAAATAGAGAAGAGACGTCGCCAAATGGCACAGCTATTTTGTCATGTGCGGGATTTAAGTGGCTAAGCTAAGGTGGATTTTGATTTAGAGCAACGTTAAAGTCCTGTAATTTATGTAGCGTTGCATAAAAGGCAATAAAGAGCCGTTTTGGGCAAGTGAACATTTTAATAAATGATAAAGTACACTAAATAACAAACAAACAAACAAACAAAAAAAATCTGAAATGTTTCAGATTTTAAATTACGTCCAAATTAAATTACGTTTTTTTAACGTTTTGTGCGTTATCTTTATTTGTTAAACATCATGTTCTTCGTACTTAACCATTAAAATTCAATTCAACAGGAACTAAATCGCAAATAAGTTTTTTATAAAAGAGGCATATCTTTAGAATTTCCGATACAAAAACTCACGCGCCGGGGATAAAAAAGTTTTTTTTTCTGCACAACGTTCCATTGCTTGCTTTGAATCCTTGAGTTTTGTTAATCAAAAATTCGTCAAAGTTTTAAAAATAGGAAATCGATCATAAAAAAAATTTCAAATTTCAAATTGGGGGGTCTTCCAAGTGCTCTTCTCGTTTGGAGGATACGTTATTCAAAATTCGATGACTCTAGTAACCTGTTGTTTTATCAAAAAATCACAATACAGAAATATAACATCTTTATGCAGATTTTTCATTAATTTAATTTCTAAGTCTTCAACTAAATGCAGGACTCTAACATTTTGTTGGCAACAGTTTGCAAAGTGAACCGACATTTATGATCCTAAGCAAAATGCCAAAAGAAACTAATAGTCCTTCGGGATTCAAATCCTTGGGACTAAAAATCGACTCGCCAAGAAGGAGTTTTCCGTGGAGACAAAATTGGTGGATGGACGATTATGTACATATAGAAAAATGATACAATTTCAGAACAAGTGAATGGTTTATTTCAGAGTTACATAGTTATAAAGTACAAGCTCTATAAGTTATTGACCCACCTCTAGCCTGGATGCAAGCTGCCACACGGTGTGGCATAAAGTGGCCACACGGTGTGGCATAGCTCCTGTATGGTCTCCTGCTGTATTTCTTGCCAAATTTTCTCCAATTGTCGGGCTAGGTCATCAGCATTCCCTGGTTAATGCAGTTACCTTTTCATCATATCCCAGACATGCTCGATGGGAGAGGGATCTGGCGATCTGGCTGGCCAAAGAAGTGTTTGACAAGCCGTAAGACAGTTCATAGCAGCACATGCCGTATGTGGTCTCGTATCATCTTTCTGAAAAATAAGGTGACGGTACTCTAAAAGGAACGGCATGAAAACAGGTCTCAGAATGTCGTCGACGCACCGCTGTGCTGTAAGGAGTCCGGCTGTCAAGAGAAATAGCACCCCAGACCATAACTCCTGGTTGAGGGCCTGTGTGGGTCCATAGTTAAAGCCAGAATCGGCACGGGCTCTGGGCGTCCTCGAGACCGATTTCGATGATCGTCACGACACAGCTGGAAGGCGGATTTATCGTTAAGACTACAGGGGTTGGACAAAAATATGATAACACATTTAAAAAAACATGTTTCTTTGGTTAATATGGTATAGGAAACCCGTTGGCATCTAAAACAGCTTGCAGTCTTCTCGAATGGGATAAATACAGTTCCTGTATTTTGCCAAGGGAATATTATACCATTCTTCCTGCAAACGGTGGCAAGTTAATAACGATGTTGCGGGATAAACAGAACGCACTTTCCGTTCCAATGTATACCACAAAGGTTCGATATATTCAGGTCTGGTGACTGTGGTGGCCAGGGGAAGATGGGACAACTCATCCACGTGCTCAGAAAACCAGTCCTGGACAATGTGAGCTGTGTGAACAGGGGCTTTGTCGTCTTGGAAGACACCATCACCATCGGGAACAAAGTTTTGTACCATGGGATAACTTGATCGGGCCAAAATTTTCACATAATCTGGCAGTCGTGTGCCCTGACACAGTTATCATGGGGCTAGCAGAGAACCACGATATGGCTGCCCAAACCATAACAGAACCCCCGTCATGTTTCACTCTTGGCAACAAGCAGTCTGTATTATAGGCTTGAGATGGCGTTCTCCAGACGTAAAACTCGGCCAGAAGTGGGAACATGTGAAAGAAGACTCGTCAGACCATATTACTCGCTTCCACTGTTCTATATTCCAGGCTTTATGACTTAAACCCCACCTTTTTCTGTTCGGGCATTAGCACATCACTGATGAGTGGCTTCTCAATTGCAGCACGGCCAGCAATTCCCTGTTTATGAAGCTCCCTTCTAATTGTTTTGGTACTCACAGGGTTCGGTAACACAAGATTCATTTCACAGTAACTTTTGCATCTGTGGTCTTCTTATTTTTTCGTCACAATTGCCCTGAATGATCGTCTGTCACGATAACTCAGGAACACACTTTCGTCCGCGCTGTGATTTAGCAGATGATGTTTTTTCCGCTTTTCAAATATGCGGATAAAATCTTCGATACAGTACCTCTTGAAACACTAACACACCTCGGCTACCTTGCTTACGGAAGCACCTACCATACGTGCTCCAACAATTTGCCCACGTTCGAAGTCTGTTTAACTCTGACATAATGCAATGACAACCTCACATAACAGTACTCTCCGACAACAACTGAACTGTTTAGCACATTTACGAAGTTGTATAGGTGGCGTCAGTAGTCAAAAACGCCAGCGCCACCTACATATTTCATTAAAATCAATCTTTCTTTTCAAACATGCATTTCACAAGGTGTTTCCATATTTTTGTCCATCCACTGTATATGTCCCCAGTCAGCATCATTCCAACCTGATCGAGCTAAGCACCATTGTAATCTGGCTCGACAGTGTACAGGCGTAATTGGCCCGTTGGTATAAAAAGACAACATAAACCGATATTATTGAGAAGAAAACACCCTTGAAATGGCAATCGAAAGTGTCTCTCGTCGATTCCACAAAGGCAAATTTTACTGTACAAACTAAGTGCATAAAAACATCTAACCACTAAACGAGTTTCAACACATCAGCCTAAACTACAAAAGCGATCTACCTACAAAGTAGTAGATTTTTTATATTTTAGAGGCTTAAGGCAAACCAGCGAGCACAATCATAGCTTTCTTACCATCTCCATTTCTTTTAAGCAGTCCTTGAAAGTTTGGGCATAGGATTCGCTAAGAGGCCGAATTTTTGGTTTAGGTGGTGGAGGAGGGGGAATTTTCTTTCCAGTATCATTCTTCAGAAGAAGCAAGAAAGAACAGAAATCAAAAGAATAGAAGTTACATAGGTATTAACAGAGGTGAAACATTAGTTATTTAATTCAACGCTTCCGTTATTTTCTAATAACCCAATATAATCATTTTCTGGTCATATCCAAAGTAAAATAAAATTTAAAAATATTTTTATAGAATAAGATTTTATTCAAAACAGATAAGATAAAGCATGCACTAAAAGAGAAACATATGATAACATTCAAAGAGAATAATAGATTAAATAATTCTGTTGGCAGAATTCATCCACAATTTTACATAATTTGCGTAAATGTGAGATTAAACCAATCAAAATGAAGAAAAGCTGCACGAAGGTTGAACCAATAAACTTTTTACTGTATGAGCTACAGTGGTACCTCGGTATACGTTTGCTCTGAAATACGTCCAACTTGATATACGCTCTGTTTGCCAGTATCAGTAAACACCCCGCGCTATAACTCTGAATTTTAACATGATTGTTTGTAATGGTTCGTAAACTGGTTAGCAAACAGTTTTAAGAAAATCAGTGAGGAGAATAGAACAGCGAAGAAAATTGTTAGGATCCTCAGGGAGGTGAAAAAAGAGATTGTCGAAAAATACGAAAACGTGCGTGCTCGACTTGTGTTCTATGTATCATATGCCAATACGATAGAGTCCGATAGAGTCTATGATACGTACGTTAGAGTACGATACTATAGAGTCTATGATTATGAAAACTAAGATGCTATTAAATAGGCTGAAGTTGCTATAGGGAAGAAATCGACTACCGAACAAAGATCAGAGACGTTAAAAGTATGCTAAAAATTGGTTTTGATCTGGATTTAAAAAAAAAAAAAAAACTTTTATGTACGTTAGCATGTACAGTGCGTGATTTATTATTTACTAAAGAAATATTGATTATATTATCTCCTAATATTAATTTTAGTAGAAGTATCTAAAAAGAGTGAACCCAGAGGTAGGAAGTTTAATTCCGAAAATTGTTTTAAAGCGACTTGAATGTAAATTGTTTCCCTCTGGGTTCACTCTTTTTTAGATACTTCTACTAAAATTAATATTAGGAGATAATATAATCAATATCTCTTTAGTAAATAAATTATTATTATCTTACTTTGCAGCTATTGCGCAAGTATTACAATAACTTGTTTTCGAACCAAGTGAATTTTTAAAATCATACAACATATATGAAATGTAATTTCTCATACATTATTTGTTTTGTGCAGTCGGGGCAACAGACAAATTTTGGAATATAAAGTGGTAGGTTTATTTTAGCATCCATCTCACAAGCGTTTTTTTTTTTTTTCGTACCTTGAGCAGAAGCCCTATTTACATATGTGGCGTCACGAGGCTCATCCAATCAGCGATATTAATTGAAATCACGAGGTGAACTCTATCTTCTCATCAGAGTGTTCTTAAGGACTTTATGTAATATGACAGATTTATGAGTTTGGGCGATTTGGCGGGGCGCCAACGGTTAATATATTTAACTACAGAAAGGATTTCGTCCAAAATTTAGGAACAGGGATGCAATTTAGTAGAGAATCGCCAACCATTATAAGCAATATTATTAGAATTTATTTAATCAATTGATTTAAAATATCATTAACACACCCCACATATTATATATATATACATATATTACATATATATATATATATATATACATTATGTTGTATGATCTTAAATCCATTTAGTGCGAATACAAGTATATATATATATATTTTTCATAAGATTATTGAATTTAATTATTAATTTAATACTTTTTAAATATTCCTTTGCACCTTTGTGCAAGGAATTTAATTTAAACAATTTAAATTCTTTAACTAAAGTCCCTTTTATATATATATATATCTAATACATCTCTCTATATTATTATGCTGTGTTATTGTAAATAGTAATAATTTAATTTAAGCCCATCCACATAATATGTATATAAAAGGACGATAAGCCCGGAACGAACGAAACCTCTCTGTGAATAAGACTCCGTACTAGATAACTAAACACTTACCTTCTACACCTCGGCCTAAACAGACTGCTGCTTGCTACTTCCTTTCTTACCGCAAAGCTATCAAAAATGCAAAATGTTTGAATAGACAGTATTAGAGTGCCAAGTGAATTGTGGTCGTAAATGTCAATTGAAACAAAAGGGAATATTAAATCTTCCTCGGCTAAAAAATTTGCTGTTCATACCAGATCAACATCTTCAACATTTATGCACTCAATTTTCTTACAATATTATATATATATACATATAATCCTGCAATATATAAGGTTTAAGTAAATAAGTTAATTATTATATATTTCACCCACTGTATTTGTATTTTAATTTTAAAGTGTGTTGTAATAAATTTTGGAGTTTGTAATAACAGGATTCTTTTTTTCATAAGAACTGATTAATTATTTTTCCTTTATTTCTTATTGGCAACGTTCGTTTGGCATAGCTCCAGGACTGACTAATGACGTGTACCGAGGTATACCACTGTATTATCACTTTTTTTTTGTATTATCACTTTTATTTTTTTTCCCCAATGGCAGATTGTGAAGAATTACAATGTAACCTAGTCCATTAATCTATACAAGGCCGGATGTGGTGGTCTCTTTATTATGGAGGCACCTAATAGGTGGGCCACCATCGCCTTTCCTGTGAAGGAACAGTTACAACCGGACAGTTACACGGACAGTTACAACCGTGCCTTCTCTTGGATTCGAACGCATGCGCTTCGGCATCGCATCAGCTTCCCTGACCACTATACCGACTGGGCGGCTTGTTATGAAATATTATGAATGATAATTATTAAGAAATCTTTTAAATTTCCCCGAAAAATATTGGTAATATTTTAGTATAATTCATTCAACTTTAATTACGATTAAAAGAAAAGCTCTACCTTTTTGAAATCGACCACAATATCCTGTAACGTAGAATCAGTGCTCTGGTCCACGGAGTTGGTCACTTCTGTGGTTTTGCTTTCGGACGTCAAGGCAGTCGAAGATGAAATTTCAGTCTTTTTGATCTCGTAGGTGCTGGACAGGGCGTCTGACACGGTTGGCGTTTCCTGCGCGAATCCGTTTTTGAAGCTGTCCAGCCTCTTCTGCGTGGCGCTGATCAGGTTGTTCAAATCTATCGTGTCCAGAGTGATGTCTGGAACAGGACTGGTGCTAGATTTGGATACAGATTCCTGTTCTTGCTTGACGTACGAGATCTCTTTGTTGCCCACAACCTGGAACGAGGCAAAGCTACTGTACTGTTAAAACAATTGGTGAACTGAAAGGGAAAGAAGAGAGGAAAATCTGAAAGGATTCAGACTTTATTAACATCGCACCAGAGGGTTTATTAAGGTTTTTTATGCTTTCGCGGAGTATTGCGAGTTGCAATCTGCTCTTGGACTCGCAATACAATTTCCCCCCTCTTCTCCGCTTTCTGAATAATCATTGCTACGTTTGAACTCGAGTCACATAAAATTCTACTCCAAAATCGCAAAATTTGAAAAAGCACTACAGAGGCTGTTCACACACATTTTAGACGATGTATATTGTATTCACAAAACTAAATTACATAAAATTCTTATGTTTTAAATGTTCTTTTTGACATCCCTTATTCTGAACTATCTTTCGACACCGCAATTTCCAGGGTAATAATGCCGTTTGAAGTGGCAGAAGAGGTATTCTATCCCATTCCTCCAGAACAGCTTTCCAGAGTCCTGTTAGGGTTTCGGGACAACGTTTGGATAATGCAGTTTTTAAAAGTCCGAAAGCACAAAAATCCATAGGTGACACATCGGGAGATTTAGTAGGGATATCAGTGAAGGGTATGGCCTTGATACCAGTTTTCTGTTCCATTTCTTTTAGGAAATTTACAGTGGATTTTGATGTGTGACTGCTAGCTTTGTCCTGATGGAGTCTCACAGATGGATGGCACTGTGGGTAAAGCGATGGTATTTCATTCAGAAAAATTGGCGATAAAATATGTTTCTGATAGTATTTGGAGTTAATCTTGACATTCATTTGCACTCTCTTTATTTTTTAACTTGCCATTATAAGAAAACCAGCAACAATCTGAATCCCTTAGAAAAACTTTCTTTCTTTCGATTCTTTGAACCATGTACTTAAATTTTTTTCGCCCCTTTTATGATAATAAATGGCTCTTTTTTTGGTGCAATCATTTAAATACACCCATGCTTCATCTATTGTGACCATTGTTTCCCATTTTTCTTTGTATAAGTGTTTCTCATATAGAATTCTGCAATGCTTAGGAAGAAGACGATGCACATTGCGTTTTTTCGCTTTCTTAAGATTTAAATCAAAGTTTATCATTTTGTTTATCGTGGATACCGAGCATTTTAATGATTTTGCAACTGTCCTTTGACTAAGAGGATTTTAACATTAAACAACGTACCTTTGCAATAGTCGAAGATGTCCATTTTTTCCTTGGATACTTGTTTGGAATTTTTATTCCATTTGAGGCTCCAATTTGACGTTTTTTTTTCCCTTTCTTGTTGATGATATTACCTATCGACGACGCTTTAGGCTATCACAAAAACCATGACTCTCACATCGTTTTTGGATAATGGAGTATGCACATATTTCTCTTCGGAAAGAGCGTACATGTAGCCTTCGAACCACTGCTTTGTTAAATTCGCCATTTTGAATGAAACAAAACTTTCAAGCCACAGACGATAATTTAGACTTTTGAAAACATAGTAGAATTGCAATTACTTCTTTTTCAGCAAACGATTTTTTATTACCGCTTACCAAAATCATCTAAAAAATGTGCGAACAGCCTCTGTATATTATTAGATTTCTCGATACAGTATTAAGTGCTGCTACACATTTTCTACCACAGGAGGGGTGTTATTATCGAACCTTAACGTCGAGTTGCTTATGTTTCCAGTTTGACTTTTCAAATAATTAGCCACTGGTACGGTAGTCGTCTAAAGGAAGTTACTATACAGAATAATAATAATAAAATAATAATAATGAATCCAGTTAGTGTCATTTCTCGGATAAAATATGTAATAAGAAAATCAAGCGCTTATTCATTTTAAATCGCTTATATTGTTTTTTAAGATCAATAACAGGACGATTCAGTTTAAAAGAAAAAAATAAATATCTTATGTTTCGTCCAATGGAAATAAACTGGCGCGTGCGTGTTGAAAATATTTTATATCGACTTCGCATTGGAATCGCGCAGTCACCTGTCGAGTAATTCATTTTTACAAATCACATCACTTCAGAGAATGTCCATCACGATGAGCCCAAAGACTAAAGGAAAAATTGGAAGCCTCACAGGGAGCTAAAATCACAATCTGATAGCTGAAGTTTGTTACTTGCTTATTGGCTATACTTTGTCATTCAAATGTATTAATGATTTAATGCTTCTCTTTTTGGTTGCAATCGGCGACACCAAAAGTATATAATTTTATATATGTGTATATATACATACTCACTCTACTCACTCTGTTACTTGACTTTGAATTATGTTGTTCTTATCCTGCGGTTAAGGTTTTTATGCCTTTTGTTAATCTGAATGCAATAGTTGTAGAATTATGAACAACTGTTTGTTCTTTAACTGCTGCTAAGCCTAATTTATTTTACCATAGCAGCTATATTTGTAATTTTAATTGTAATTTTTTTAAAATTGTTTTAACTGTATTTGGTGGTTAATATTTTTCTATATCTTTCAATTTTTAATGAAGACATTTTGATTTTTTTTATGTATTTTTGTCTTGCCGCGAAGTTAGAACTGAATTAATTGAATGAGAAATATATATGTAAGAAAATTCGAGGAAATAAGTTTAAATTAAAGGCAGGAAAAACTGCGTATAATTTAAAATTCCGTACAAGAAAGTCATATGGTGTGCACATCAGTTTTTTTTTTTTTTTTTTCATTATATTATTTCTTTAAAAATAATATATAGGGATTTTATTTCTATTGCCATATATTTTTCATATTCTCTATATCAAGCTTCGGAAAGCTATGACCAACGGGTCATCGAGTGACCCATTTTATGATTTCAAGCGACCGACCTGAGTTACGAAAATAAAGTGTAATACAAAAAAATAAAGTATAACTATGAAACGGGCACTTGAATAACACACAAAAATTTTTGTTTGATTACAAAGTTGCAGTAAGAAACATACATTTATAAAAGTTGTAACATAACGAGACATATTCACGGATAAATTAATAAATGGAGCAACGCCAATTGTCCGCATTCGGTTCTATGTATGAAATGTATTTTACATATGAAATTTTTTATATGAAATTTTACATATGAAAATTTACATATGAAATTTATTTTAAATCAGAATAGGGACTGCTTAACTACCGAAAATTCAGCTGTCTGGACTTTAACATACGTAAGCCAGACCTGATTAAACCGACATCACAAAGTTCAAGCATCAGGTAAGGCATTAAGAGAAAAATAAAATTCTTTCAGATATGTTTGATTTTGTAATAATAATATTTAAAATTTCTAATTTTTATGTTTAAAGTTTAAAGCGTATTTTAATTATTTTCTCAAAATATTTATCTCTTTATACACCAAGAAAGACTGTTCAAAAATGAAATTACCTCTGATCCGAAACGTACGTACATTTTACACGTACGTACATTTTTTTTTGTTAATTTTGACCATCAGCCAAAACAGGCTGCCGATGCCTTGTCTACTTTATTTCTTCGAAAATAATACAGGATGAAAACATTTGGTGGCAACATTTGAAAAGTGATACGAATAAAAAAATGCCAAGTTTGAGACTAAGCCTTTTTTTCACATTACAACGAAGTTTTCGAAGGGCCAATTTACTTTATGTAGCTAGTGTCGCCATCTGTTAGAGAAATACAGAAACAGCTTCCAGTAGTTCCGTTGCGAATTTCTAGTGCTGCCATCTACTGCAGAGATACGAATTCTTTTAGGACAACTAAAAGATTAGGAAATATTTACTTTCCCAATCCTTTAGTAAATTTTTTTTAACAGTTTGATTTAAATGCGTGTTTTTATGTATCTTCTTAAGTTTCAAATCACTGAATGAAAATAATTTTCTCTAGTTAAAATGTAATCTGAAATTTTTTAACGTATGCTTTTAATTCAATTTTCAGGGAAATTATTAATCGTTTCATTCGGTTATCCCTGAACTGAGTTATTCTTTGCATTAGTCCGGATAATGGTGATCACACCATAATTGAAATGCCTCGTAAACAAGCCTCACAAAATTGCTTCAGGAGTGGAGAATTTGACATCATTTTGTTGTTGACTCAAAGCCAAATCATTGAGCCAAAGAATTTTATTGGCGACACGATACAGTATACACAAATGTTTAAAAAAATGTTTAAACTGTTAATTCTAAGAATTTTTTTTATTTTGAAGGCATAAGCATTTTAAAATCGCTTAAAATTTTGTAAAAAGCCAATAAATAAAGACAATAAACTTGTAAAAAGACATTTATTTAAGAATTTACTATGCTTTTATGGTTCAACATCCTGATTCGCCAGTTCATATCGCGTGACCGGAAGTGATCTCATCTCACGTAAACTACACTACAAAAATCTAATTCTCTCAATAATTACCTACATTAATTTCAAGTTAAATCTTAATTTGGAATACAAGTTCAAAATGCAAGTATTATTTCAATTCGTACGAATAGCTTACTGAGAAATTATGCAAAACCGCAGTGCTTTACTTCGCTAGTGCATTCTCATTAGAATTGGTGGATTTAACCTTGACTTTGCCTTTTCTATATTTTTGCCTTCGGGTGAGCGGTGTGATTGCTTCCTAATTGACTTAATTACCGCGAATGGCCTTAGGGCATAAAATTGAGCTATCCGGTAAAAATTCTATGTCATTTTATGTACATAGAACCTATTAGAAAAGTACCTATTATTCTATTTCCGTTTTTCACACACAAATTTTGCCAGAATTAAGAAATCCTTAATTTGCTTCAGATTTCAGAATGATCATTTCAGTGTGCACATAATTTTTACTTTTATGGATGACCTTATCAAAGAACTCGTTTATTATCATATAAAATATAAAAATGACGCATTTAGAATATTTGTTTTATGTTATTATTCATGCTCCTTAGATACGTAAAAACGGTGCTTTTCCGTTTTGCCGGCGCGAATGGCATAAAATTGACTATCTGATAAAAATGCTATGTAATTGTCTGCCAGTATTGAAAGAAACAATCAATCTGATACGAAATGGCTGCGATTTGTTTTAAAAATGAGGCGTAAAAGTTTATCAGAGAGGATATTTCGTTCGGCAATAGTTGTACCACTATTGTCGACTTTACCACCTGCGCCAGGTTACAGCCGAAAACATCGTGGCAAAATCATCGCGGACGAAAACGTCGCGGAGAAAACAACGCAAGGCAAAAAAGTCGTGCTACAAAACATCGTGGGAGAAAACATCGCAACGAGAAAACATCGCAGTTCTAAAACATCGTGGTACAAAACATCGTCGTCGAAAATAAAGCGGATCAAAAACTTCGCAGTTTAAAAACATCGTCGTCGAAAATATCGTGGTAAATAATAAAGTATCTACAAATCATCGCATGACGATAACATCGCAGACATGCTTCTTTCAGGCTTTAATACTGTAATGGATATTCCCATATTGATTTGTGATCGCAAGATGGAAAGAAGGATAATTTTTACATTCATACTTTTTATTAACTAATAAATTTTTTGCTGAGAAAATAAGAATGAAACTTAAGCATAGAAAATTAATGCGACTTATAGCACTTAATATAATTTTAAAACCGACATAGTTTAACTAACAAAGGCCATTAATAAATCATTTTTATAAAGTTTTTACTGGTAATTTTTTCATGAAAAGTATAATCTATAATTTGCATTTAATTTTTTATGCTTAAGTTTCCTTCTTACGTTTTAAGCAAACATTTATTAGTTAATAAATATGTAAAATAAATTATCCTTCTTTACATACTGCGCTCACAAATCATTAGGGCAAGATCCATTTACAATAATTAAAACCTGAAAAGCATGTCTGCCGAAGTTTACCGTCATGCGATGATTTTGTAGATACTTTATTTTTTACCACGATATTTTCGACGACGATGTTTTTAAACTGCGAAGTTTTTGAACCGCTTTATTTTCGACGACGATGTTTTGTAGCACGATGTTTTAGAACTGCGATGTTTTCTCTTAGCGATGTTTTCTCCCACGATGTTTTGTAGCACGACGTTTTCGCCTTGCGTTGTTTTCTCCGCGACGTTTTCGTCCGCGATGTTTTTGCCGTGATGTTATCGGCAGACACCGCGCAGGCAAAACGGAAAAGTACCATTTATTGTCATACGGAGAAACTTAAAAACAACGAAAAAAATACATTTAGTCATTGTTCGTAATAATAATTGTAACTCCCTTTCAATATATATTTTTTAAAATAAACCACTTCACCCTCCTCTAAAACTTCTTTTGTATTCCCTAGTGAACTATCTGAAAATTAACAAAGACGGCTCTCTTAAGAAACGCCCTCAGACGAGCAGTCCTTTCCATTTCAATGCCAGCTGAAAAGCGACTAGAAGTACATTCTTATTTCCAGTCTTTTTAAGCAAATTGTTTTTTTGTATGATCCTATCTCTGCTTCGGGGAAAAGCGACTAGTTAGGTCATAAATCTCCTCTTTTAATTTTCCCCGCATTTTGGAGGTTGGAAAACACGAAGCGAAGAGTCTCTTTCCGGGATAAGGATCCAGGCCACATTTAACCCCGGCGGATGAGTCTCGTTGCTGAGGTCTGAAAACACTTTTCAAATCGACGAGTCCGCGGCTTATTCACAAAGCCTACAGACCGTTTCTTCTGATGTTTGCTCCGATGTGCTTGGCGACTTTTGGTTCATCGCCTATACAATTTGTATTTGAGCGTCGTGTACCAAAAAGTGAGCATAAACCACCGGAGTAACCGCAGCCCAGTGGTAACGAGCGCGGGAATAATTCTCAGAATTCTAGGTCGCCGGTTCTATCCGCGCTCGTGGCTTTCAAAAACTCTGCTTTATACGGACTTACTTTTATTTTAACTTTATTGAATGACTTTGTCATTATTTGTCTTTTCGCCTTCGGGTACGGTGTTAAAAATTAAACGCCTTTATTTTCTCTATTTTCTGTTAATGTTAATTTTTTCTTATTTTCATTTACTGGTTTGTACTCTTTGTAGTAGGTACCAGTAAGCAAGATTACGAGATTACCAAGATCTCGCAAAAGCGTTTCAATAGAAATAGCGCATATGGAATAAAATATAATTTTAGTTATACTTACTCGTCAAAAGAATAGGTATCCGACACCCTTAAATGTTTACTGAATGTTTTCATTTGGTTATTTTTTTTAATATTCCTTTATTTGTATAAATTAATGCGCTATGAAGATTTACACAATAGACTCTTCCTAAGTGAAATAACGAAAAAGTGCATATGCTGTCTCCATATAAACACCTTTTCTTGTAAAACAATTACGTGGTTTTAAAAGTTTAAATTCAAATACAAATAAACTATTAATAAGATCAGTAGGTTATTTAAGATATATTCCACACAATTCCTCTAAGCTTTCATTCATAAACTAAAAAAATGTTGAATGAAATAAACGTTGTTTCCGTTTGTTTGGCGTTAATTACCACGCCTACAGGGCGATAACTCGCCATTCCAAATATGACCGCCAAGCAGATGTTTCCTCCAACGAGAGCAGCCCGTAGCGAAATTGTCTGTAGGCTTTGTGAATATGCGAGTCCGCGTGGGAGGAAACGGTGAAATGGTTAAGGTTACCGTTAATTTCGTTTGGAAGATGTGGCAATGTTAATCACTTTCTGCGTGATTTATCAATTAATTTTCGCACTTTGAAAGATCATCCAATTTTTTCCCCTAACAGATTGAATACAGCGAACTACCAGATTATAGTGTACTAAACATTCGGACTCTTAAAGTTCGTTATAACGTCGTTTGACTGAATTCACCAGTGAAAGTTAGTGAAAGCGTTTAGAAGTGCCTTTGAGTGCGTTTTAGAAGATTTTTATAAAAAAATGATGATTTAATTTACATAAATATTTTAACTGTATCCAAACGTCTGATGGCCAATAAACTGTTTCTACACATCTTTTTGGGCAGAAATACAGTATTTCTTCGAGTATTTTTCCTTAGCTTTTTAGCGTCAGGTTCTGAAAATTAAAAAAATATTTGCTTCATTTTCCTCCTTCCTAGTGCATTCAGAGAACGAGCTCCTCTGAATTTTAAAGTGGATTCGTAGCGATTGTTTCCGTCTTACTAACAAACATAAACTCTCGCAAACTACCTCCGAAGGTCATGCCGAATCTTTTCCTTTTAACTGTTAAACTTTATGCCAGCCATGACCAACCCATCGCAATGAAGCGAACAGGAACTGACATTCAGTCTATGATTTAGTCAAGTCGACTGAGCATTCAGAGTCACGTTATGTATGAAAAATTTGTGGCTCAAGGAGCAGTGGAGACGAAAACAGGAATAAATCAGATTTAACAGAGAAGTAACCACGAAGATACTTTACACGGTACTATTCGGTTTCGAGTGCCGTAAAAAATCGCCTAACTATTGTTGATGCCAATGCTGCCAAAAATAATTGCGGAAACCTTAATAATTGCGGCAAGAAAGGAAGTATAATAGTAAATAACTATTTAAGATTGATGTTTTAATTTAGATGAAAGGTTAATTTCATATAATACTTTTTTATTATTATAATTTATATGAAAAAGGCTAAACATGATTGAATGAAAGCATAACAGTAAATAACTATTTCAGATCATTATTATAATTTATATAAAAATTGCTAAACATAACCGAATGGATGCCTGCATCGCTATTTCGCTACCGACTTATCGCTAAAGCATAATTTCATCTCGTTGGTTGTTCAAACGTAATTATCTATAATGAATAATGCCTTTCCTTTGAAAATATTCTCGGTAAAGTGCAGAATCGCTCATTTATTTGTTTGCCGCTTTTTACAAGTGTTAAAACAATTGGATTTTTATCAATTTTTTTCTACTTTTTAAGTGAAAATAGGTCGATGTGTACATAGAAATCAAATAGATAAAGTCAAGGGTGTGCGCAGTGCCATTTTTGTGCAATTCTAGGATTTTCTCTTTTTTAAGTGAAAATAGGTCGATGTGCACATGGATACCGAGTATGTGCAATTCTTAAAAACGCGTCAAGCAGTGGGTGCAATTCTTAAAAACTGCACTTTACCCAAAATTCTATTGCCGACTTTTCGTCATGGTCAATTCCCAATTTGTTAAATCCATAGGATATCAAAAAAAAAATTTAAAAATAAAACTAGTATTTCAATAGCGTCTTAAGGAATATAGAACTACTATATAATCTTACGCAATGTGAAATCAGCGCGTACGCTAGATTTGGCGCGCTGTTATATGGGCGCGTTTGCTAGATTTGGCGCTTTTGCGCATATATTTTCGCTGCAATTTTTTTTACGGTCCTCAAAACGGAATAGTACCCTTTACACATATTGTAATGTTAATATGCATTTTGATCAGAATGTAGGTTTCTTTTAAATAAGTAATATTATAATAGCTACTGTAGTTTATCTATGATTACTTTTCATTTGTTGTGTTCTTACTGTAACCGCGTACTTCGGAAATTAAATAATTTGCATGATTTTCCCCTTTCGATTTTCGGATAATAAAATTAGAGGGGGGAGGGCAAAAATAATGATACTTCGTTCATTTACCTCGTGCTTCCGTTCAGTTGTTGTCTTAATGTATGTGTTGTCGTCTTGGCTGACTTCTTCAGTTTTGGATGACGTCGATAGATCGATTGGGCTTCGAGGGGGTTTCGGAGGTCCTTGAGAAGTCTGAAGCAATTCGGAAAACGGTGGAAATGGTTCTGTAGATGTCACTTCCTTTTCCGCTGTTTCGTCTTTATCTTCCAGTAACTTGGTACTGGTGAAATTTTCGAGGATTTTATGTGTCGCTGCGAAATCGATGTCTGGAAGCAGAACTGCAGATTTTATCCGCATCCCTTCCGTTTCTTTGGTAATCTGGAGAAAAACAAAATGTAATGAATTTCAACATTTATAAAAACATTCAGGTACAAAATATTTTAATATAAGATGAAATGAATACGGAACTCGTTTTCTGTGGCGGTTTTGGCGTAAATGTTAATTCTGCGTGTTTCTGCATTGGCGAGCCTCAAACGGCTATTGATCTGCGCATGTGCGAGAAACTGCCGATCTGCGCATGTGCATGAAATAAACGGTTACCGATTCACTTTACGGAGCGAATTGACTCCGATTCCAAGAAACGGTGTTTTAGCTCTTTTGCAGTTCATGTAGATCTCTTGCTGGAACCTTACCAGAAGCAGAGATCTACTGACCTTCCGAATTGATTCACTTTATCAAATGAGCGTATGCCTGAGTGGTTAAAAAACAACGGCGCTCTTGTTGGAAGCGTGCCAGGAAAGTTGATTCCCATTTTAGGAAAAAGAATGTTTATCCTCCCATATTATATGTGAGTTTCCTTTTTATCATTTCCTATGTTTTTTAAAACTTTTTATTCTGTAATTTGATTGTTGATTCTGTGCTGAAAGAATCCTAAAATTGCAGTTGAAAGAAATCAAATCGAGGTGTTAGCGTTTAATTGGGTGGATTTTTCCCATCCCACTACTCGTTCGATTCTTTTCGCTCGTACTTTGCTAGTCGCTCTTGATTCACTCGTCGTTACGGATCTTTCTCATGAAGTTTATTATTAGTGAGTCAGAAAAAAGAACCGTTTCATTTCAGTGAGAGAAACGCTCTGATCCGATGTCATAAAAGAGCGGTTTTGTCCATCTCTAGCAAGAAGCAGTTAACCATCTAATTGGTTTTAGGCAATAGCAATGTGTCAGTATAACGGTTTTTTCAAGAAATGACGTCAGCCTCGTCAGCTAATCCAGTTCGCTTTAAATATTTCCAGAACATTCTATAACTGTACGTGTAGAAAAGGCGGGAAAAACAACTTGACTACGGGGCTGTGGATTTAATTCCACGTACTTTCAAAATAAGAGAACGTCGCCATTAAAAATGAAAAGAACATACAATTAGAATTTTAAGTGTCTTCTTGACTATGGAATTTTATTATTACAAATATATAATATTTTAAAAAATGCTTGGCATTATGCTTGCTATTTTCAGTCTTCCATCGAAGGAAAAATGAAGTTATAGTCGATGTTTTAGGCATTATTAACAGAAATTACTCACCTGTAGCCACCAGAATGAATATGTAAAAAATTCTTCATTTTCCAATATGTTTATACATTAAGACACAATAAGACTCCGAACAAATATTAATTCGCAAGTTAATGTTAGTCAGAATGAATTAATGTTTATACGTTGTCACGGATTTTGCATATATATAAATAATTTTTGTGAAATTATATATAAACTGAATTATCTCTTCTATAACATAACATGAAAGGCCTCAGGATGTGAATCACCTCCAGAAAAATAAGGTTATAGAGGAAAATCCATTCAACATTGAGGTAAATGGCTATGTCGCCAAACTTGGCGAGATCCGTCGTAAAATGTAGTTAAAAATTTCAGGTGAAAAAGATACTCGCCAAATTTGGCGAGATCCGTCGTAAAATGCAGTTAAAAATTTCAGGTGAAAAAGATACTCGCCAAATTTGGCGAGATCCGTCGTAAAATGCAGTTAAAAATTTCAGGTGAAAAAGATACTGAAGTTGCTGAAATATTTGCAGATGAATTCATTGAACTCATTAATAGTGAAACATTATCTCCAGAACAAATTTACAACGCTGATGAAACTGGTCTTCTTTTTGGCAATATGTACAGCGAAATACCTTGGCAACCTCAAAAGAAAACGCTCCAACTAGTATCAAAGATTCCAAAGCTAGACTAACAATTTTAGCGTGCGCAAATGCTGCAGGAACGCACAAACGTAAACTTTCCGTAATCGGAAAAAATACACGACTTCGAGCATTTAAAGGAGTAAATGTTTTACCGTTATATATCGTGCAAATCAAACAGCCCGGATGACACAATCTTTTAATGTGCGATTGGTTTGAAATCATTTCATACCCGAGGCTCGGCGAAATTAGAATTCGACTGGTTTACCTGATGACGCAAAAATTGTCCTGATTGTAGACAACTGTTCGGTTCATATTTCACTTTATTATTAAGTTTTAAAAAAAGATAATTTATCCGTTGGTTAATTTTTGGATTATGGTAACTTGGCGATTTTTTGGCGAAAATCTGGTGACCAACCCACTACAGCAACCTGCTAGTTTTTTGTTTTTTTTCTGGACACCATTTTTTTTCACGAAGTAAAGGCATGGTTTTTTTTTTTTTTTTTTTTTTTAAATCAACATTTTTTTTCAACAATCTGCTAGCCGAATTAAGCTTATGCTAGAACTTTTATGAAACAAAAGTGCTTAATCATGAAGAAGATTAGGTGCGAAATTGGGAAAAAGTGCAGAATCGCAAACTGCTTGCCGCGTTTTTAAGAATTGCACATACACGTATCCATGTACACGTCGACCTATTTTAACTTAAAAAAAATTATCCCAGAATTGCACAAAAATGGCATTGCGCACACTCTTGACTTTATCCATGTACACTGCTAAAGTCCTAGCTAGTAACCTTTATCGGCTTACCAAAATGTCGCCAAACTATCTGTTACCTTATTCCAAAGATTAGCCTATCGGTTTTATTCTTTCCTCCAAACTGTACGTCCATCATTCAGCCTACGGATATTAGAATAGTGCGGGCGCTGAAATGCAAATATAAAGTAGCAATTTTAAAATCCATGTTAAATTTCTTGTATTATGGCAAGACCGTTGAAGGATTTTTGAAAAACTTTAGCATAAAATATACTGTGTGGGACATCTAAAGATTGGGAGAATGTGCCCCCAGATACTTTAAAAAATGCTTGGCATAATTTATGGCCAGCTACCATGTTTCATGGTGACGATGATGAAGATTATAGCCGCGAATTTGAAGACTTTCGGATATCGCAAACCACACGTGAAATTTTCGAATTAATGCATTGGCTCTAGTGTAGAATTGGATGCCCCTTCGATTAGCGACAAGTTGCTTTTAAATTTTGGCGATGTAACCTCACTTCTAGTTACCATGATAGTTTTAACTTTGTTTTAACTTCCTGATTTTATTTAAATGAAAATAGATTGATGTGTACATGGACAAATTTAAGGCAGTGCGATGTGCCTAGTTTGTGCAATTCTACGATGTTATTTAAGTGAAAACAGATCGATGTGTACATGGACACAGAGTTTGTGCAATTCTTTGACTTCTTATTTTGGTTTTGTGTAGCGGCCATCTTGAAATTGTGCCTTCCTAGCGCCGATCTTGGCGTCAAAAAAGAATCGCTAAGAAACAAGGGGCACCCACAAAATCTGTAGTATGATTCTAGATTAAGAAAATATCGCTACCGATAGTGAAGAAAATGACAGAGAACTTACATAAAACGAAAAAATTTCGATTCACAAGTTAGTCGGAATTCTCGACACAGCAACTACAGGACTTTTGTAACTAAACAAGAAATTATATCTCTCTATAGAAATAAAGAGAAAGTATTAGCACACACACACACACACAAAAAAAAAAAAAAAAAAAAAAAAAAAAAGCTACTTAAACAATTTACATTCAGAGAAATGTTTAATAAAGTAAGCAAATAAATATTAAGCTTTTTTTGTAAATTTTGATACCCTTTAGATCATAAATGCTTCATTATTTCTACATGGCATCTTACTAGATTTAAACTGCTGATCTGATACATGCCATCTTACTAGATTTAAACTGATGATCTAATACATGCCATCTTACTAGATTTAAACTGCTGATCTAATACATGCCATCTTACTAGATTTAAACTGCTGATCTAATACATGCCATCTTACTAGATTTAAACTGTTGATCTAATACATGCCATCTTACTAGATTTAAACTGCTGATCTAATACATGCCATCTTACTAGATTTAAACTGCTGATCTAATACATGCCATCTTACTAGATTTAAACTGATGATCTAATAAATGCCATCTTACTAGATTTAAACTGATGATCTAATACATGCCCTCTTACTAGATTTAAACTGCTGATCTAATACATGCCATCTAAGTAGATTTAAACTGTTGATCTAATACATGCCATCTTACTAGATTTAAACTGTTGATCTAATACATGCCATCTTACTAGATTTAAACTGCTGATCTAATACATGCCATCTTACTAGATTTAAACTGATGATCTAATACATGCCATCTTACTAGATTTAAACTGATGATCTAATACATGCCATCTTACTAGATTTAAACTGTTTATCTAATACATGCCATCTTACTAGAATTAAACTGATGATCTAATACATGCCATCTAAGTAGATTTAAACTGTTGATCTAATATCCTGAAAAATCCCAAACCCGGAATCGTGTAAGTCCCGACGAGTCCGGATTTCGGATTTTGTACTGTATCAGACTTCGTAATTTTTACAAAATTTATTCTTTAAGTTTAAAAATTATAAAAGATTAGTTTTTGGGTCATTTAAGATATTTTTTGTATTTGGAAGTATATGTACGTGTCTAATATTTGCAGAAATTACGGCCGAGTAAGAAATTTGGCGGAAATGGTGTTACAGTCGAATTCCGCTATAACGACCCAATAAGAAAACTATATTATTTCACAAAAATATAAAAACAGTGTTTTAATATTTGTATGGAAACGGGAGATTAAAGCTAAAAAATGTACCTTTAATTTTTACTTGACATATATATGGTTATATATATAAAAAAAAGACTCAATAACGACGTTTTGTAAAGAATATTGTATCGTTATCAAACGATTTAAAGAATGTAAGAACCCCATCCGGAGGACAGAACTAGAATAGCCCAGAAAGGGGGGGGAAAGGAGGTAAAAGAAATTTTTATTCCCTAGAAGACAAATCAACTGTATAACATAAATTCATTTTTACTCATTTCTCTTTTTCTTAATAGCGAAAATTTCGACATTTTCATCATTGTATCAA